TTGATTTGTGTGAGAAAGCCGGTGATCATGAAAACTGAAATGGCAGGCAAATGCAATGTTTTATTCTGGACAAGCTGAGCAACTTCTTTGCATAGAAGTGCAACAGTTTAATGGCAGGTGGATTGCAGAATATCTGCCTGTAACCAACATGCCAGAGCAAGCTGTTTCCTATGAGAACCATTCATCAACAGCAAAAGTAGTAACACTGTGAGGTACCAAATAGTAAAAATGGGAGCATCTCGGGACCGGTCAGACTTGCTCTTTCGTGGTTCTAGCCTTATTGGAGTTTGTCTTCTTTCCACGTGGCGTTCACTGTAGAAACTCCCTTTATCTTCCTCCCCTTCCGTGTGCTTAGCCCTCGGCTTGCCTGACCAGCTGGCCTCAGCTGAAGTCAGGAGAGTGGTGGGCACTCACATGTCCCAAGCTGGGTGCCCCAGGCACTGCTGCAGGGGCTCCATGGTCACAGACACACGCACAGGCTGCTTGGTCATCCCCTGCGGCACTTCTGCTCTTCCAGACTGCAAGACACCTTGTCTGGCGTTGGTGTTTGTTGCCATGTGTATTCTTGAAGGTCTGCTTTACAGGTTTTCACCTCAAAAAAATTAATTTTCAGTGATGGCAGAGGCATTATGAAGAAGTAGGCAGGCTGATGTATTCTATTTGTGTTAGACATAGGGTGAAAAGCAGTGGACGTTGCCTGCTGAGAGGAATTACATTTAGATGAGGTGAATTGCTTGTCATGAGACCATCAGCTCTTCCAAATAGGGCCTTCTGTATCCCAAGACATTTCTAGCTCTCTCCTTGCTATTCCTGCAGGTAAATGATCCTCTCCTCAGGCTGTTTCAGTTGTGGAGAGACTCTGAGCAAAGATTGCCTTCCGTTCTTGCAATTGATGCCTGACCAATTTCTCTGTATTAGTAAGACTGAGCTTTGCCATGCGGAACTTCCAGTAATTGAGAATTAAATTTCCCTGATTCTGGAGTCTATCAGAATTTTGAATTTTGTGTGCTTAAAAAAAGAAAGTAAGAGTGACTGCAGAAAGCATAGCTGAACATGTTTCCTGTTGTCTTGAGCTCCATAAAGCCTGCAGTATACAGATGATTTTTCCAAGATGCTTTATTTAGAAACATTTTATTGGTGATGGACATAGCCCATTATATTGCGGTTTAAAATAATGGCAGCTGGTTTTGTGGGTAAGTGCTGAGTCATTCAGATGCATGAGGTAGGGTGGCTACACAGGCATGTGCTTTCAAATTGAATACCTCTCTTTCTAAAATGAATAAAGCTATATTTACATTAGGCACTAGTATTTCTGGCTTAACTTATGCACTCTGATAAAGTCATTTAAACAAATACTCTGCCCATTACATGTCTTTTCAGCAGAAGACACTGGAAAGTACTTTAAGCATTGGCAATCCAAATGCACTGAGGCATTGAGCTGGCCCATGATGAAAATAGCTTTTTTTGTGCAAGTGCAGCGAAACATTTTCAGTTTAGTTAGAATAATCGCCATAATTCCTTTAGGAAATGACTGAGAGCTGAGGAGAAGTTCTTTGTCATGTTGCACCCTCTATTTAGAGAAAAGACAAAGAGGGATCTATTGTTTTTTATTTTTTGTGTTGTTTTTGTTGTTTCTTTTTTGTCTTGGCCAGAAACAGTTGAGTTTATTAACTGTATGTAATGTTTGTGTTTGTTGAAGTTAAGTGAGAATCAGTCTCTCTTTTGAGTAAATAAACACTGCTTTGCTTGCATTGTTTCTATTTTAAATCAAACAGAAGTGGTAGAGCTAAAATACCAGAATCTCCTGCTTAAATTCCATCTGTCTAAAAGCATTGGATTAAATTTGGAGCCAATTGCTGATACCATAATTAGGCTCTTGAACACTCCAGAGGGCTTGGGGTTTTTCTCCTCTGTTATGTCTCAAGATATGCATGCGTGTGTGTGTATATATTTTTAATTACGAACAATATATTTTTTTATAATGAACATGACTGAACTGAGCAGTCACTGGTGTCGGTAGATAATTTGCATGGTTGCTGTGTGGCCCCCAGGACCTGCAGATTTAGGGTCTTTGCTGTGCAATGCCAGAAGGCTTTCCTGCCTCTTTCCTGCTTTCCTTAAGCCTTACAACTTCTCAGCCTTCTGTCTTGTCAGCTCTCAACCAGCCGGTGCAGTGCATGAAATTATCTTCTCACCTATTGTTTCCTTGGAAGAATGTGTATTGGAGTCACATTACTGTAAAAGCTATTCTGCTATTTTGAGAACTGCCAAATCTCTGGGAAGTGAGCGCCTTGTGTCACGTCACTGTTGGTTGCCATCTGTTCTTACAAATATGTCAGCAAAATCTGTTATGGACAACCTGTTCTTCCTTCCTTGCCTTTTCCTTTCTTCTTTTCTGTCTCGTGTTTACCTTCCATGTGTCTCCTGTGATTATATGGAGTTTTGCCATCCGGTGGTGAGGAGCCTGTCGTCTCCTGCCCAGTTCTGTCTGAAACATTAATCTGATCGTTACCGATCTGCTAAATGCAGTAGGGCTGTCGGATGCCTTACTTCTGTAATCAGGAGAAATACTGAAAGTTACACAACTCTTTCTGAAAGACAAATAAGGAAGTTCAGAACCTAATCTGAAGCTTGGAGTAGAGGCATGAGCCTTAAGCATTCGTGTTTACCTTGAGAGCTTTGCATGTAATCAGGGTGATATAAAAATGTATCCAAGTAGTACTTTGAGGGACTGGTATAACTGAAATTCTGACTATGGGCAGTGTCATATGCTGGGTACCACCTCATAGCAGTTCTTGATACTTATACTTCAAGGTAGTTTTACCCCAGATTGTTTTGTAGATATGTTTTGCTTTGCTTCCAGGGTACTCTGATGATAACATTACCTTTATATAGTGC